GATTCTTTTCAGTGACTCAAAAATATACAGCATGACCAAAGCAGTCCAGGTTCCCAAATCAAATGATTCAAATGTACTGAATCTCTTTAGTAACTCATAAACATACAGTATGACCAATGCAGTCTGTATCCCTAATAACAAATTATTCCTGTGAACTGATTTTCTTTATTGACTCCAAAACTTACAGCATGACCAAATCAGTTCAGGTTCACAAATTAAATGATTCTTATCAACTGATTCCCTTTAATGAATCTGGATCCCCCAAAACAAATGATTCCTATGAACTGACTCTCTTTAGTGATTCTAGAATCCCCAAAACAAATGATTCCTATGAACTGCTTCTCTTCAGCGCCTCACAACTAAAGCTTAACCAAAGCAGATTCCTAACAACATATGATTCCTGAGACTTGATTATCTTCAGCGACTCAAAAACAAAGTATAACCAAAGCTGTCTGGACTCCCAAAAAACAAATTATTCCTATGAACCGATTCTCTTTGATGACTCCAAAACATTCAGCATGACTAGAATAGTTGAAATTCCTGAAATAAATGGGTCTTAACAAGCAGTTCGTTTTGGTAACTAAAAGACCAACCACTGTAGTCTAATATCCCAAAACCACTGTCATGAAATGGTTCATTTTACAGTCTCATAAATATCCAGATTCCCAAATTTTTTTTAAAGTAACTCAAAATCTTCACAAATGTTTTTCATTATGAAGTAAAAGAGGTATTTAAATAAAAAGTTTCCAAATGTATGAGAATACACTTAAAATTACACAGAATTTGTGTTCCCCTCTATTCGCAAACACATACAGGGCACAAGGTTTATGCAGCGGGCAAAAGCAATCATGTGGACTGGTGTGGTTTTCACGGCATTTCATCTATGAACGGGTAGCATTCATCTGGAAACGCGGAGCATAATGGGCCAAAGGGCCTGTGAGCAACCTGCTTTTATGCCCACTTAAGATCACGTCAGTAAACAGAAACATACGAAAGACAAACAAGCCTGCTGACTGCTGTGCTCAAAACCTCGCATGCTGCCCTTCAGGCATTGAGTGTTTGGAGAAGTGAGATGACACGGCAAGGCCTTGTTTCTAGCATCAGTTTACATCAAACACACTTTTGCACCTTCACTAACAAACACACACACAGAGAGTCAGCCCTCAGGCAAAGCGTCTCTCTTTGCTATTAAACTGAAGCACATTGTCGGCACCCTAACCTCTGACCTGCATAAGGATATATCCATCAAGGTCTGTCCAAGTGGACGTCTCAGGAAAGCACTGCACTGCTGAGGCAAGTCCATCTGACTTTGATTTAGAGTTGGATTTGGGCCCAGGGTTGCTGCCTTGTCCACTAATGAGTTATTTATTCTCTCGACTGCAAGATGACAGGGATGCAAATTGTGTTTGAACTCAAACGATAATTTACAAACAACTTAACAGTCAAGAACCAGAATCCCTCATGCACACTAAATTTGAACAGATAAATCTCAAAGGTTTGTATGAAAAATATTGAACTGGTTGTCCAATCGTGCCCCTGGATGGCCACAGTCCTGTAGAGTTTAGCTCCAACAAACATGCCAAGAACTTTCTAGTGCAGGAGTAGAGAGTTTCAGTCCCGGTGATCCACAATCCTGCAGGGTTTTGATCCACCCTGCCTGTAGCTTTCTAGTAACCTTCATGTCTTTAAAATCGGTGTGAAATCAAAATTTACAATGTTTATTTTGTTAGCGCACATGTTAACATTAAGGTCAGGGGTGTCCAACTCTTCTTGGAGGGCTGTTATCTTGCACAGTTAAGCTCCAACCCTGGTCCAATACACTAAAACCACGGTCACACTGGACTTTTCTCCCCATAGACTTCCATTCCGAAAACACAAGCCTGTGCGAGTTCGCTGCGTTGGAAAGTTCAAGCTTGGTGAACTCTGACCTGTGAAATCACATCACCTAATTGCGTAAGACCAATCAAAGATCAGTGCATGACCTCTCTGAACAGAAATTTAAAATATGGGCCAATCGCTCACCTCTTAAAATATCTAATCATCTTGTTTAATCCCGCCCCTTTTCACAACACCATGCAACAGAATTCCAATGCTCAAACTCTAGTGTGACCTAGACCTATACCTATGATCAGGTGTGTTTATTCATGGCTGGAACTAAACTGTGCAGAGCGGCGTCCCTCCAGAAACTGTGTTTGACACCTGTGCTTTAAGGTGCTTTCACACTTGGTTTAATTGTCTGGACCGTACCCAAGTTCGATTGTCCACCCTTGCCACCTTCTCGGTTGGTTTGTGTTGGTTTGTTTTTTTTCCGTCTGAATCCCGGTACGCTTGCGTCATCGAGTTGCTGTTGTGTGTACGGCTGTTGCTAGGTGACGGACAAGAAAGCAAAGTGCCAAAATGAAAAGACGTCCACACTCCGCACATCGCAGTCATTCTGCTTTTACTGAATCTTTTGGTTTTGGACATACAGAAAGCGACTCGCATCTTTCTGCCGCAAAAATAATATAAACGTTCAGAACATGACACAATGTCTGCAGAAGCAGTTTTTGGAAGAGAGAAGCAGAAATTATCACTGTGCTTGCCCTGGCTCAGTCCAGCTTGTCACCAAGATACAGTATTTGATACACAGCCACACATACACACAAATAAACGTTATGAAAACGATGCGTTGTTGTACTGCTGGCGGTTCACTTCCGTTATTTGGTACAATTGCATTCATACCAGAAGTGAACTGGACCAGAGTTTGCGTGAACCATACCCCAGACCACCTCTTTTAGGCGGACTCGGAGATAGTTCGTGGGTGCGCACTCAAGTTTAGAAGACATGTTTACACTGGCTAAACTAACTGTACCCTTAGATGAAAGCACCCTAAGGTGAACAATTAATCATTGCAAATTATTCCACTGAACAATTATGCTTGTTTTGGTAATCTTCAATCAAAGTCTGACCATTTCTTCTGTGCTTATAGTAGCGGGTCCTTAACTGTTGACGTCAGATTGGCTGATTCAGCTACAATATTTTTAACCACTGTCCTCTTACTGTTAGTTGGCTATTGGGGGGGAAAGAAAAATTAAAGATAAGCCCCCTAATCAACATTCCATTTCAGATAGAAGTACATCACCCTTTTCTTTCTTTGCTTGAGGGTAAAAGTAAGTTATAAAAAACTGAGTTATGATATACCTGTTTTTGGAATGCAGTAGGTGAAGATGTAAATGTTTCATGCTGACAAAACTTTGCCAAGATGATTTTCATTTGTCCACCATTTCTTTTCCTACCTGGCAAAATTTTCTCAGTTTAAAGGCCCGTGCAAACCGAGACGTTTTTTGCTCGTGTTTTCTGTCGACGTTTAACGCCTCGTAACTAAATAAAGGGCGTCAATGTGATTGTGCACACCAACGCGCAAAACGCCAGGCACAAAAGCGTCATTTTAAAAAAAACGCCTCATGCTCATTTTTTTGTTTTTACGCGCGGCTTCAAAACCTTCTCCACCAATCAGATCGGCACTTTTGCTCACGTGCACGAAGCTGCTAAAGTTACTGTAAACAGCACTTGGAGGCGCTCAAGCGCAAAACTGTCAATGCGAGCGCATTGAAGAAGATGCCCAGAGGCGATATGAACATGGCGCTGCTTATTGCTCTGTGAACACTAATCATTTCTTCATCGCTAAAGCTGGAGCTGCTGCTTGAACCATCTATGCTTGTTCGAGTCACCAGTAACTTTATAAACAAACGTGCGAACTTCCTCTCCTCCTCTTCTTCTGTGTTATAACCGGGTGTCAGAAGCTTATAGTTGTGCAGCGCCATCTAACGTCAAAAGAGTGATTTAGCATACTCTTCAGCTTGACGCCAGTGAAAAGCGCTTGGGTTTGAACACTGAAAAACGTCTCGTAAAAAGCTGACAATAAACGCAAACTAAAAACGTCCTAGTGTGTAGGAGCCTTAAGGCAGAAATCACATAAGTGCAACAAGATTAGCTAGACTAACAAAATGTAAAAATAATAAAGTTTTCAAAATTAATACAACATGTTTCCAAGTGAATGCGAATTCCCTTAGGGGAATGCAAATTTTTCAAAGAGGCTGTAAATATATATTTTCTTAAAACACAACATTTTTATGACCTAATGCAAAAACCTTGAAATTCAATTGATTCCTCTTATTTGTCCCTTTAAAACTATCTAGATTTGGAATAACATCAGGGTGAGTGAATGACAGAACATAGAATATTTTGGTATTGCGGAAAGCAGAGGTCACCAACTTTGCTCCTGGAGATCCACCAGATCATCGGGCAGATTTGAGTTCATCAAACAAACCTGTCTATAATTATCAAGCGCTGCGTTAAGTTCTTATTAATTCATATAGTTGCATTTGATCAGGGTTAGAGCTGAACTCCGCAGGAAGGTATATCTCCAATAACAGGATTGAGGACCTCTGGCGTAATGTCTCTCGTTTATTTATTAATTAATTTTCCTTCGGCTTAGTTCATTTATTCATCTGGGGTCCCCACAGCCGAATAAACCAACTTAGCCAGCATTTCTTTGAACTATGGGGGAAACTAGAGCACCCAGAGGAAACCCATGTGAATTCAAAGAGAACATGCAAACTCCACACACAAATGTGAACTGGTCCAGCTGGGACTCAAACCAGCAACCTTCTTGCTGTAAGGCAACAGTGCTAACCACTGAGCCACTGTGTCCAGTGCTGCTTCAAGTCCAAATTAATTCATTCAGTTGTATTTGATCGTGGTTGGAGCAGAACTCTGCAGAAAGGCAGATCTCCAGAAACAGAGAAGAGAACCTCTGGCCTAAAGTTTCTCTTTAATTCCTCACACAAATATGCATGCAAAAGTGCAGACTTATCAGGGTAGTGGTATTGGCAAGGCATCTCTGCATTACAGCTATGGTCCAAATTAAACACAGAGGAACGCACCTCAAAAATGCAGAGGAGATAATGGCACACTAACCTCGGCAGAGAAGAAAAATTGCAAGGGAGAGAAGAATTCACCTGCTTGAGTTCCAGAACTTCCTGTTCTCAGACTTGGGTTTCTTCTCACACTTCTTCACACAAATTTTAAGCGTTCCTGCATGAGCTCTCCGGTCTCCACAAGAGAAGATAGCAAACTACTTATCTCACATGATTAGGAGTGGCTGATAGAGAGTCAGAAACTAAAGAGAGAAAACACACACACACACACACATAAGGGAGGGGTCTCTGATTAAAATTCTCTTGGCACATTGTAGAAGGACGTCGCAGCAATAAAGCTCTGCCGGCTGGCTTTTGTTCAAGTTTAAGGCTGAAGTCTTTTTATTCAGTAAGATTCTGCCTCTTTCTGGTCTTCTGGCAGACTTTCTGGAACTGAAGGGAGGTGCGGGAAGGCGAAATGAAAAACTAGCAGGGCAAGAAAAAAGCAAGCCCCCTCCTCTCTTCCGCCCCCTTTTCGCTCTTGTCTTCTCACTTTTCTACAGATGTGGTATTCATTGGTCTCTGAAGGGTTACCCTGTCCGAACAATGCCCACCATCAGACCGCAACAAAACCGAAGCAGCTTTCAAAAGGTCTTACAAGCTTGCACGGCCTTCAAAGACTGAAAGAGATTGCTTTGTAGATCCACAATCAGAGATGGAGAACTAGGTTGAACCGAGATAAACCTGAGATTCTCTGCCACAAATCTGAAATAAACATGTAAAATCAAACATCTAATATAGCATAATGTCAGTATATAAAACATCTTTAGTATCTGCCAATAGACAATATAGTACCGATAGGTTGTGACTACATAGTTTCAAAATAATTTTCTAAATTAATTAATTGTTTTTGCATAAATGTGCTTTTTATGTAAGAGTAAATATTTTGTGAAATAAGTGTTAGTTACAGCTCCTTTGTGGTTTAATCTTCAGTAAATCGTGACTGGTGTTGAGGAAAAACTACGGTGGAAGAGTGAGAGCTGTGGTTAACCCCAACATCCTACATTTGCATTCTCCATAAATTCACCTCCAATAAAACCAAACTCAACACTTCCCTCTCATGGGGTTCGCATGTTAAAGCCTCACGTGTGAGAGCTGAGACGAGAAGCGCCTTAAACTTTACGACTCCAGTGTCAGCAGTGATCATAAAGAAGCTCTTGACAGTTAGTGCTAGTCTAGTTTCTGCAACATTTCTTCAAGAATTTTCCAAATGTTTTGGAACAAAAAGTGGGACTAGTATCATCTTTAATGGGTTTTTAGTATTGTCGAACGATTGTCCCAGAGTCAATTTGTTAACTAAAGAGGCACAAAGAGACACAGTTAGAGTGACACATAATTACCATGTGAATAACTCTGCCTATAGAGCCTTTTTTTTTTTATTCTGCTGAGTAAGTCGTTGGTAAAGGTCTGTCTTGTTTGTTGCAAAAGCTCTTGATGGAGTCTGTAAGTCCAAGGAAAGTGCTTTAAAAGTAAACAAAATTTTTAAAAATGGCATAGATAATCTCAAATGGGACTGCCGGATACACACAAACGTCTACATTGAACCTGCGGTTCCTGATGTCTTTTTAATTGCTGAACTGAACTGCTGAGCTCTGCTGACCAAAGGAGACATTGAAGAACAACAGTTATGGGAGGATAAAGTATGACTGTGTACTGTTTACCACAAAAAACCCCAAATGAAATCCCTCAGCAGAGCCTCTGAGTGCGAGTCTCTCGGGGGACGTTAAAAATCAATATGCAACCAATTATTCATGGAGGAGGGAAAGACTCTTGCAGTCCAAATGCTGACAAGAAGCTGGAAACTGCAAGCCACATTCTGCGAATATATAGTAGAGAGTTACACAACAGAAATTCTGCGATTTCACAGGAGTAAAGAGCCACTGAAGGAATTTCCTGAACTTTGTAAAGCAACTAAGCAAATGTGATGTTTGGCCCCCTCGTGCACAACAAACTAAATAAACAAAAAACCCCCTCCACCACCACCTGCTTGTACTAACTTGATGCCTACAGATATTTGCATAGTCTTTTTAACTAGGGCAGAGAATAGAATCTAATTGTGTGACCCTAGAGTCCCTTGGGGAGTCAAGGCTTGTCTGTGCACCAGACCATCTCTGACATATGAAGGTGGAATCTTGATTTAGAGCAGATACAGAATGCACATGTGGTGGCCCCTGCTATATATTTGGATTAGTATACCACAGACATATGCGGCAGGGGAGGATATTTTGATTTTAGACAGAAAGGAGAATATAAATGAATGGCCCCAACTGCATTTGAGGGCAAAAGTCATATCTTCGCACCAAAAAATCTCAGACATATGGAGTGGGATTCTTTTGATTTGGGACAGAGTACAGGATCTAAACGTAAGGCCCTGGGGCCTCTTGATGACTCCTCCTGTATATTTGTGCCAGAATATCACAAACATGGACAGGAAGACTCATTTGATTTGGGTAGGAGGGTAGAATCAGGGCGTACTCACACTATGTACAGTTGCCTTGAACCGGGCCAAAGCACGCTTGCCCCCACTCCCGTCTTCCCCGACGGCCCGCACTCACATGACATTCGGGCCTGGGCACGCTTACATTACATTAAATTTTACATTGAAGGCTGATATATACTTCTGCGTCAAACGCCGGCGTATGCTACGGCGCTGACGCATAGCCCTTCGTCGTGGACGTCGGCGTTGCTGACGTGCACCTCTCAAAAAATGTAACTACATGTCGCAACGACGCATAGCGCAAGCTCTGTGGTTGGTCGGCTTGGTAGCGCTGACGAGTCTGGGTGGGACAGACAGCCGAATGAATGGTGCGAGCCTGATGGAGCGATTGTTTACAAGTGTGGAGTCCCGTGAAGGAGCTCCGGATGGAAAGTTTTGTTTTGTGTTTACCTCATAGTTAAAGTTGTTGCACGTCCGCCGGTTCCTGCCTCAAAATGAGCGAGTTTGAGCCACTTGTACATCCCGGAAGTGTTCAAGAAAAGCAAAACAGCAGCGAAGAAACTCGACACAGAGGAACATTTACACCTTACTGCCAACTAGCGTTTCGGAAGTGTTAATGAAGACCAACAGAGACAGCGCGCAGAAGTATAAATGCACAGCTACACGCGTTGCATGCACCGTGGGTTATGCTGGTCACTTGAAGCAGAAGTATAAACCAGGCTTTAGTCATTTAGCAGACATCATCAATGCTGCGCTGTTCAGTAAGCGCTGTCGCTCAACACAGTGCAAATTTCTTTAATTATATCATTTTAGTGGTTTGGGATGCAGTGACACCAGTCAAATATTTCGCCGCCACCTTTGACGCTCATAAACAATCACAAAGTCCTCGTGCTGTAGGAATTAGGAGGTTTGTTGAAGGTGCGCAGCTGTCGTGCAGTGAGGGGTTTGCGTCTTTCATAAACTACGACAGTTTGCGCTCACTGAACTGTAAGAATGATTAATAAATCCATATGAAACGGCCCTCTCAGGCTCAAATTAAGTTTTAGAAACAGGAAAAATCTGATATTTGGGAAAATTATCAAAATGGGGTAGTACAATAGAATCCTGACTTTTTTGAGAGAGAGAGAGAGAGAGACCTTCACATGCAAGGCGTTCTGGGACGTTGCAGATTTGCAACATTGGCCCAGTGTGGTAATTAGACACTGACGACTGAATATGATATGAACAATAACTTTTTATATACAACTTTTCAAATAATATAACAAATTGCTTTTCTGTGGCAGAACAACAACAAAAACAATATGGGATCCAAGCGGCAACCTCCCGCTCTCCCTCAGGAAGTCAATATGGAAGTAACTAAAACTGCAATTCATCCGAAATTCCGCTAGTCCTGGCCGCTCCTGGCTCCAAAATAGAGCAATTTTCAATTGAGCCCACTGTTAGAATGGCCAACTTTACAGCAGAAAAAAAAGTGTTTACAGCCTGGTACAAAAAAAATATTTTGGTTAATACAGCTAATATTACCCTTCATGACAACTGTGAGGGGGGCGAATTCTTTAATAACTCATCCATTTCCTTTATATTAAGTTATATTAAGTTTGCATAATTAAGGGCGTGGCCACTTGAGTGACAGCTAGGTCTCATTGGTCGCTGTCACGTCACCTCAGCTGAATCCTGCAGATTAGCCACTGAACTCGGCATATTTATCGTATTTCTGTGTTGTTTTATGTGGCTTTACACAGTCAACTGCCTTTTGGACTTGTTTCCTACAATTAATAGATGGCATGGCATGCTGAGTGCACTTAATTGTGCTCACAAACCATTCGCGTGGCCTCCGTTTCCCATGTGAGTAAAGTTACATACTTATAAACCATCTCTACACATGTATTTGTTTTATTTAAGATCATTTATCGTTTATATTTAGAGCTGTAATGCACTCCAGAATCTGACGAATTGATTAGTTGTAGGCTCTAGAACAGTCATCTGAAGCGTTGTCATACAGTGTTATGCTGGATTTCATCAATAGTCTTACATTGACTAACACAGACTATATCTGAAGTGTCTGGAAGTAATTTGTGTTTTCCTCCAGTTGAAAAACAGCATAAGAACAATGTTTAGTGGCTCAATGTATTACAGCAGTGTTTTTAAAAGTCTAAACACTTTATTGATATAGTATACAACCAAGCACAAGTGGTCAGAATACAAACGAGTCACAGGTGATAAAGTATTAAGAGTTCTCCCAAAGTAAAGTGTGTCTGAACCAGGTCCAAGGAAAATGCCAGCAGGTGTCTGTAGCTCCGCCCACTCTCCGCCTCTTTGCCCTTGTTTGGTATCCCGCCGTGGGTGTGATGACGCGCGAACAAAATGGCGACGGTTGGCCGCACCTACTTGTGGCTTCTTTTGCGCTCTTTAGAAACCTATGGGTGACGTCACGGATACTACGTGCATATATTTTACAGTCTATGATGGGATCCAAATCCAATATCTCAAATCCTCATTGAGTAGGTCATCTTTGTCATGTGGTACTCCAAGAAACAGTTTTTGTATATTGTGTCATCTGGTGAGCAAGTGGGGAAACTGTTTGATGCTAATGGACAACCAAGTCCTGCAATGGTACTTCTGAGTAAAAAAAAAACTCATACAATATGTATCTGGAGTAATAAGGTAGTTAATTTTTAACAGTTTCAAATCTGCAACGCCTGCCTTGAGAGGGTTAAAAGTCCTTTCTTGCTTTTAGTTTCGGGCTTAGGCACGTTTTGCACTCACAGAATTCCAATATGGAGTCCCAAAGACTATTAGAAACTTGGGTAATGTGGCCACACCAAAATGCCACAAACATATACAGGAGGGCTCTTCTGACTTGGTGTAGGGTCAGAATACAGAAGGGTTTGGAGGCTGATAAATAATAAAGCGCTTTGGGGGAATCTCCATATCCACCACCTGTGTCCAGCAACCACCTGGATGATGCAATGGCAGCCATATCGCACCAGACCACACACACCACACAGCTGATTAGTGGAGAGGTGATGAAGCCAATAATGATATGGGAGGCCATGATGGATAGAGGCCAGTGGGTAAATTTGGCCAGGAGACCAGGGTTAAACCCCTACTCTTT